ACATTGAAAACAATTTTGCGACTTTGCTCAGTGATGTGCGAACTTGGCGCTCTATTTCAAATTTCAGTGTTTTTGGTTTGATTATATTATTGAATTAAATGTATGATTTAGAATCTTGTTCAGACAGATTTCAGTGAGTTATTCCTAAAAATTACAGCCTACAATAAAAAAACTACATATTTCCATGCAAAATAATGGTACCGCTTTCAGCACCAAAAATCGGAAAGAATCATACCGCCAGGGAGGTTAATGCAGCTCTTCTGTGTGCCGGGCGCCCGCTGGCAAACATTGGCTGTCAGGATGTAGGCGGGGCAGCGTGACGAACTCCTCTCCTCTCACAGTCCGCCCTAAAGACCAGAACGGCGCGGGAACACAGCGAGAGGAACGCACGGAGCAAAGGTAAGTGAATTGACACAATATGGGGAATGAATTACTATAGGGGGGATGAATTACTATATGGGGGATGAATTACTATGGGGGATGAATTACTATGGGGGATGAATTACTATATGGGGGATGAATTACTATGGGGGATGAATTACTATATGGGGGATGAATTACTATGGGGGATGAATTACTATATGGGGGATGAATTATTATAGGGGGGATGAATTACTATAGGGGGGATGAATTACTATATGGGGGATGAATTACTATATGGGGGATTAATTACTATGGGGGATGAATTACTATATGGGGGATGAATTATTATAGGGGGGATGAATTACTATAGGGGGGATGAATTACTATATGGGGGATGAATTACTATATGGGGGATTAATTACTATGGGGGATGAATTACTATATGGGGGATGAATTACTATAGGGGGGATGGATTACTATGGGGGATGAATTACTATGGGGGATGAATTACTATGGGGGATGAATTACTATATGGGGGATGAATTACTATATGGGGGATGTATTTTCAGTTTTAAAAATGTTTCTCTCAAAATAAATTTCAATCGTGGTTTTGGCAAGATTTGGCTCAGTTGAAAAAAAAGGTTGCCCACCACTGACCTAAGGCTATGATTGTGATTATGACGATACACTGTGGCCCTGATTAACCCTTTGCTTACTGGGCCCTTAAACCCCCTTCATGACCAGAGCGCTTTTTGCAATATATGCAGTGTGGGATTTGTTTTAAATGTTGCAATGGTTTTGCGGCTCCCAGTCTTTTTTTCCCTCTCGGAAACGGGTCCAAGTGGCTCTTTATGTCTTAAAGGTTGCAGACCCCTGGCTTAAACAAACATCCATGTTTGTTAACTAATTTGGCTAAACAAAATATATATATTTTAAGAAACTTAGACTGTCAGCCCCTTCCTCCTCACACTTAGTTTCACTTTCTTGTTGTGCAGATCTATTCCACTCCAAACAATCAGAAAAATATTGTTTCTATTCTATTCACTGAACTTCTTGAAACTTAGCACTGAAGGGGTTGATTCTGTATTCATAGGTTTGTAGAAGTTAGGATTAAGGTCTTTTTCTTAACTCTGTTCATGTTATAACATTTTTGCTGTGAAGAAGAGGCATGTGATCTCCGCTGAGTCAAATTCAGTTTTGAGAACTGCAAAAGTAAACCAATCATCTGTGATAAATATCTTGTAGGCAGAGAAACTGCCCAATAATCTTACAAAAACCTCTGGAAGAGCATGCCATTGTGAATGGATTAATGGAATTTATTTATCAAAAAAATTAAACATATACAGCCTTATTCTACATAATTAAAAAACTAATCTTTATTTCATGATGGAATAACCTTTGGATGGTAATATATTTTCCTCAAAAAGCATTTTATTCAAAAAAATCCGATTTAAATAAAAATAATCCTTTTATAATAAAAAAAAATCTGATTTTTTTGATTTTTTAAAAAAATCATTGATTTTTATCCACCCTGGTTCCTGTCTATGCATATTGGTGCACAGAGTGGCAGGTTGTATCAGTGTAGTCCTGGAAGGGTAGAGAGGGTGTGAAGGAGGAGTAGAGTAAGATAGGATAAACCTATTGGATGTATCCCTCAGCAGTACATGAGAAAGATCCACCCTTTTTATGTACCTCCAGACATGAGATATATTTACTCCCAATTATGGGTGGATTCAGAAACACTCACACATGTCTAAGGACAGTTTGCAACCTTAGCTGCAAAGAGTCTTCTCAGTGCACAAGAAAGTACCCTTAGCCAATGTTTGCATGTTTGTGCCATCACTCTGGTTGCTTTATGCTGGCATAGAAATTGCTGCCATAATTTTCATATCACGAATTACACGAACTAGCCCAACTCCAGTTAAAGCCTATTTCCTCTGTTGTATGCATGGGTTAGAGTAAGAACTCTTTTCAAGTTTTTATTGTTGTTTGTATCCTCATTGTACAGATTTCCATTTTTTTCTATCTTGGTGACACCAGGGCTTGAATTGGGAGAGTGTGGGTGTTACCAGGACAGGAAGACACAGAAAAAAAAAACTTGACAGATGCTCCAGTGCTCTGCTAAATAAATGTGCTGTTGCTGCTATCTCTGTCCCCATCACAGAGATATCACATCACTTCCTGCTCTTGTGACATCCTGTCACTGGGACAGACATTGAGCATAAATCTCCCCAAAGGAGATGCAGACAGCAATAAAAATCTTTCAGTGGTTCAAACTATTACTTCTTCCGTACAAAGTCAAAGTAAAATTCTGACTGGAGTTGAGCTATAATATTTCAACAAAAGCAAAGCAAATTCAATTAAAAACTGTGGAGTTGCATAGAGTCTGACATCGGTCTTGTGTAAACTGTGACTTCTATATTTTCTGATCATTAAAAACATCATTGCTTTATTCTAAATGTTCGTGTTTCCTAGAATATACAAATTACAACCAGTTTGTTAAAAGACCTGCAATACTCATTCAAAAGGGACTTGGCCATCAGATTTCATCTCAGTTGACCATGGTTTTGACTGTCACCTGGAGAACAAAACAGATGTGGGAAGATTATGTGCTCACATTTTTCATTAGGGACAGAAAGCGGAAGGGTCATTTGTATATTACAATAGACAAACAACCTGCTAAACAAACCTTGACTCGTTCCCCACAATGCTCATCTCATTGAGCGAGTCAGATGTTCTGCTGATTAAAAATTGATCCATTTCAAAATCTAATCAACGGGATAGTATTCTTTCATATGTTATCAAGTCAGCTGCTGACATCAGAAACTAAAACCTGTTATTAACCTATGAACTTCAGTGACCTGCACCAGACTGGGCTTTTCCAATTGTAAATTATTCAGTACCCCAGGAACAATGCTATAAGCTGAATGAATTTACACACTGGCTGCAGTCTGTGTAGGTTAAAGCCAATAATATTGGCCCATTGGACCCGAGGGAGTGAGGTTCACAACAAGTCTGTGTGCCATGACTGTGAATACATTAGCAGTATCTGCAAAATCCTGCCTTTCCAACATCTCTCCTGACTGCTAAATGTTGAGACAGAGAGAGTAGGGATTAAAAACATGAATCAGAACAATGTCATGCATTCTGTCAGTGAATATAAGGTTAATGAACAGTTGTACAAGTCATAACAAGGGACTGGTCAAGGTAAGTTCACACTGGAATATCTCTAACTTCTGTTTATTAAAAAATGTTCATATTCAAAATAACAAAAAATGTGATGGGCCATGTCCCAATATCAGCTTTTTACCTGAACTGGTAATTAGGTATTGATTACATCTCACATAAATGATATGCCAGTCAATTCACTTGTGACCTTCAATATTTACATGATCAGGGTCAAGTTCAGCTTTGTTCTGAAGGATTTTTGTGGGTACATTTCCAATCACCCCTTTCAATGTGTACAGTATAGCTATCATTATACAACGTAAAACACTTAAAACAGGTAAACTCAGGGCCATTAAAATCTGGCAATAATAGACTTAAACATTTACCTATTTATTTTGGGCAGTTTTGCAGGGGACCAAACCCACATTTATGCAACATTACAAGCAAAATATTTAATCTCTTAGAGTAAGTATAAAATAGTGTCCCTTGTAGCTAATTGCCATCTCTTTGTGTTTCTACAGTCCTTCTTTAAATCCACATAGTTCTAAACTGGAAAAAAATAAAAGAAGCAAAACATTTTAAAAGTTAAAAAAGCTAACCGGTCTTTATGCCTTTCTTTTCAGCAGCCTGAACAGCCATTAGTAACAATCAAGTGAATTTTCATTATCCTATAATGTGGTAGCCCTCCCTACTAACATGCAAGTTTTCAGTTGGGTTGCTGCTACAAACTGTGTGGACCATTTTCAAAGTGGAGTTTCATGGGTACAGCCTACAAAAGCAGACCTATACAGGCCTCTACACAAAATCCCTAGTACAAGTATCACATCTCTTCTCCATCGTGCTCTAAATTCTAAATTTAATGGAGAATGGTTAGGTAAAGTCAGGTTTATTTTTGTTCTATGGAGAGATTTCCTTTTACTTGGTTTGGTTACAATGATCGACAGGACAAGTAGAGAAAGTAAATCTCACCAGCGGGAACACAGACAGCAATAAAAACCAGAAAGAGTTTCTAACCATTCCCTATTCCATTCCAAACTAAAAGTAAGTTTTGGCATTACACACAATTTAATTTCAGAGACTGTACCTCAGTCCTGTAAGTGTTATATAGAAGAGTACAAAAAGTCCTTGACAAAATTCTTTAATGTTAATAGTTGGACTTTAGTTCACAAAAAGTCATCAAAAAAGAGTAGAATATGTCCTTGACAAAATTCCATAATTTAGGTGCTTGATCTTCAATCCACAAAATGTTATAAAGAAAAGTACGATAGGTTCTTGAAACACTCCGTAAAGTGTTACTAATCCCAGGACCCTACATTCACTACATCTGGTCTCCCACAGTACACAGAACATGGAAGTGCAATTATTTTAGTAAATATAAATTGCTAGATACCTTTTCTCATCAGCATTAAGAGCAGTCTTGTGAATTCAGCTGAGCACTGGTTAAAGCTTGTAGGAGGAGTTTTCATTCTCCTGTAGGAGGATGCAAAACCCCTGACTTCTGTCTGGACAGTGTTGATTGATCCTGTGTTGATCACATGCACTCTCCCAAGAAAAAAAAAAAACTCTCTAGCAATACACACTAAACTGAGCATGTGCAGAAAAGGGATACTGGTTCAGTCTGTCTTATCAGCGTGGACATCTGAACGAGAGGGGAGGGGCAGAGAAGCCAGGCTCAAACAGCGTTTTTACACAATGCAGAGGATTAACCACTTAGGTTCCACAGTGAGTATAACAATCATGCTTTACTGCATATACAGACTGATTTTACTGTTGTAGGTTTAGTAACACTTTAACTATAGTGGTTGGACCTCAGTCCACTAAGCATTTTATAGAAGAGTAGGTTGAGGTTTCTGCTGTTCTTCATTTGTAGTTGTGGGAGGTGGGGACCCTTCCATGTACTGAAACCACACTATGGTTTGAATCCCAAAATGGACTTTAAATATTTCTTGAAAAGACTCCTTATAAATAAGACTGTATGCTAACAATTTATTAAACCACTGAGACAATATTAATAACAACAAATCAATGTCTCAATGGTTAATTATTTTTCAGGTCTCAAACCTAAAACTGGGAAATGAAAGCACTGCTTCTTTCATACCATTAAAATGTAGCTTTAACTTTTACTCTGTTCATTACAGTGAGTAACTCGGCATACATTACAGCAAATGATGCATCTTCTATCTGAATTGCCAAATTTAATACAAGCTACTGTCAAAGTGTCAATGCGCATTTGCAGGAAAGAGATGCATAAACAGCCATTATATGATTTTTCTCAATATTCCTTCAGAAGACAGATTTGTTTTATATGGCTAAGAAAACCAATAAAAAAAAAGCCAAACTGATTTGAGGAACAGAAATATCACAGTTATGAGAAGCTGAAGATGGTAGAGTTGTCGAACAATCAGACATTTTTTTTTAAGATGAAGAGCATTAAACTATTCCCTGTAGAGATCACTAATCTAACATCCAAATCCTTTATAACCAGCCAATCCCTATAGAGCAATTAAATTCTTCTCCCTTTAAAGCACTTGGTTTTCTGTCTGGGGACCAAACCGGAAGAAAGAAAAAAAAAATCAAAATTCATTTGATAAATTACACAGGGACGAGAGAGAATCAGGCTTTGTTCTAGGTTTTATTTTAATTACGGAAGGCACAATGGCTGCATAATGTTTAATAAGAGCTATGAAAATTCCTAACAGTATTACAGCACAACACAAAAGAAATAACCTGGTTACCATGAAAAATTGCATATTTAATTAAGAACAGAGCCTCTGAAACTACCTAGAGGATTTCAAAGTGTGTGTTAGCCTAAGAAGCTGAATTACATGCTTAGAGGACTGCTAACCGAGTGACTGCTTGCAGTCATTACCCCTGCGTTCCCATTAAGTGACATGCCCACATGACATCAGGATTCATTCTTGAAAGGGCCTGGCAACCCCAGCAGCCACTTGGGTAGTTAAAAAGAACTCACTACCATCCAGCTGCTACAAATCAGTTCCCACATTGCTAAAACTAATAATTAAAGAATATTGCTAATTAGCTGTTCTTATCTGAAGAGAAGTAGCTGGAGATTTTCCAAGTCCTACTTCAATACCTTCTTGGTTCTAAGCTACGTGACTACATCTTAGATTAAAAAACCTCCCTTGAGTTTCTCATCTCTATTAGAAGACTGCTAGGGCTGCTGTATATGAAGTATATTTACACTTCTTAAGGAGAAAGTCAACTAAAGGTGTGGACAAGAATCAAAATGTAGTCAGATATAACTGCGTGATCCCACCGATCACCAATCTTTTTTGAATTTTTTCGAATCAAGGAGAGAAGGACATGTTTGTGCTTTTACAGACAGGGTGTCTAAAATAATCAATGCTGGATTCACCCATGTAGGATCAATAGCATGAAGTGTCAATAAGGTCAATGGCAGTCACTATCAGTATGCAGTGCGTGTCACAGTAAGGCAGGCCAAACATTATGCACTTGGTTGAAGGGAAGAAAATTACTTGATTTTGCCATCAACACAGTCAGTGTTTGGGGGTTGTATTCTGACAGCAGGTTTTCCAGGCCTCAGAATACAATGATCACTGCTGGCGGCTATAGCCTCTGGCAGTGATTGAACAGCAAAAACCAAATAGACTGGTTGTACTGATATATTCTGAAGAAGTCAAGTGACAGACCGTGACGTAATGCATAGGTACGCTAGTAGGAGGGGCTTCCGGTGCACGAAGACATCAGTTCCGGCGCAGGCACCATCTTGGTGCACCCATTTTCATCTTCACCCATGCAGTACACCCATAATGTGGTGTGAAGGCCTTACTGTTAATGCGGAATTTGTGAGTGGGAATTTTTATTGTATTTGGATACTTTGAATAAATCAGGTTTACACTATGTTGGCCATTTTCTGTCTTACTATTGGGGACGTGTATGGAGAGCAATTCACACAGCAGTGTCATTAGTGGCTGGAGCCCTTACCATTAAAGGAGGAGAGAGTACCTCCAGCACTACCAATGAGAACACCCAGACCTGGGAGGATCATCCAAGTGAGGTATAAGGCTCAGGTGTGTCCTGTGGGGCCTGGGCAGACCTCAGATATGTTATAAACAATATAATTTATTAACACTAACAATACAAACATAAACGCAGGCAATACTAAAACATAATACAGGTACATACAAGCAATTGGCAGGCCGGGTCAATATCAATAGGGCAGGTAGGTCAGCACAAGTCACAGTGCCAGTTCAGAAGGTATCACCTGCAAGTACAGAGGTGATCAGTGTATGTGGACATTTTCTATTGCAGCATTCATGCACAAGGAGGAGTGGAGTCCTGTATCACAGCGTGTTGTTGTTTTGGACGGCTCAACTGTGTTATTTTTATGGCCATCCCTTAAATACCCCAGCATAATCAGGAACCAGGTGTTAGCTGGCTGCCTGATTGCTGGGAGCATCCGCTGGCCAGCCCTGGACTGCAGATCAAAAGGGCAGGTGAGTCCCACCACTTTGCTGGCTAGCTGACATCATCCAAGTTATTTATAAGGCTTCATTGGTCCTGTGGGGCTCTGGGCAAGGTGAGGGGGTACTCCAGAACTGAGGATAGTGTGTTTATATGTCCATTGCAAGATGTGATTGTGTATGTGACATTCTATTGGCATTCATGCAGAGGAGTGAGTCCTGTATCACTGTTGTTTTTTTGGCACGGCTCACTGTGTTATTTTTATCAATATATCCCTTTAAGGAACACACACACTTTCTGCACTCAGTTTATGATCCCTCAGATGAGGATCAAGAAGGGATAGTGTGTGTTATATGTCCATTTATATGTGCTATCAATTGAATGAGTAGGGGCAGATGTTCCTTTAGGCACGTCTTTTTTACATTCATCTTTATTGCGTATCTCTTTCACCTTTATGAGGTATATATATACCACTGTATGGCCCTGTTTTAGAGTTATGTAGCGCACTATCCTACATATATTCAATCTGGTTGTACTGAAGTTGATTAATAGATCAACTTCAGTACAACCAGCCTGCCCATAGGTGGATCAAACTTTGTCCTGCTGAACTGGCCGAATTTTGCTCCGTCTATGGTCGGCTTAACACAATTAATCTTACTCAGTAAACAATGTCAATGCTGCATCATGATAATATTACATAATCACAGTTACATAGTTAGTCTGATTGAAAAAAGACATAAGGCCATCTATTTCAACACACTGAGGAAAAAAAACACACAAATAGAAAACCTCCATATACACAATCATATACCCACAGTTGATCCAGAGGAAGAGGAAAAAATGACCAAATAAAGCATGATCCAATTTGCTCCTGCATGAAAAAAAATCCTTCCTGATCTCCCGAGAGGCAATCGGATATTCCATGGATTAATGTTATCTATAGATATTAGTATCCAGTTATATTTTGTGAATTTTAGAAAGAATCCAGGCCTTTTTAAAACAATCTACTGAGCTGCACAGCTCTTGAGGAAGTCTATTCCACATTTTCACAGCTCTTACTGTGAAGAAGCCTTTCTGTATTTTGAGATTAAATCTCCTTTCCACCAGAAAAAAAGAGTGCCCCCCCCTGTCCTCTGTGATGACCTAAAGTGAATAACTCTACACCAAGTTCACTATATGGACCACCTATGTATTTATACCTGGTGATCATATCCCCCCTTAATCTCCTCTTCTCAAGAGAGAATAAATTCAGTTCCTTTAATCTTTCCTCATAGCTGAGCTCCTCCATTTCTCCTTTTCAGTTTGGTTGCCTTTCTCTGCACTTTCTCCAGTATCCCAATATCCCTTTTGTGAAATGGTACCCAAAACTGAACTGCATATTTCAGATGAGGTCTTACCAATGATTTTGTACCGGGGTAAAATGATATTGCTCCCTCTGCAGTCTATACTTCTCTTAATACGAGAGGATTTTGCTCGCTTTGGAAACCACAGCTTGACATTATGCTATTATTAAGCTTATGATCTACCAGAAACCCCAGATCTTTCTCCAGTTGTACTCACCCCAGTGTGTATGATGCATGCATACTTTAGCCCCCCCTTTACACACTTTACATTTATCAATATTAAACCTCATTTGCCACATAATTGCCCAATTAAACAGAGCATTGAGGTCGGCCTGTAAATTGGAGACAACATCCTGTAAGGATGTTATTCCACTGCACAGCTGTTCCAGCACTGGAAGCCCTTACTGCCAGAACACAGCGCTATATACAGTTCATACAGCGCTGACAGTCACTGCACGTATTATCCAAACAAACTATTTAAAGTTCACCAAAACATGGAGTTAGGCTTTAAATACTATTATTTACATCTCTTTGCTAAGAGTTGAAAAACATAGGATTTTCTACTCACTGTTAAAAAAATGTTTAGGTCCATTGAGGGGCACAGCTTAATGGTAAATAAGAAAACTCCTGTTTAGCAGCCACCTACAGAAGAAATTTTTTTTTTGTGAGTACAAAAATCTGATTTTCTCTGTGGTCCATCTGGGAACACAGCTTGATGGTGTTTCAGGCTGGGTTCACACATATGCGGTGCGATATATTGCATGTGATTTGCATAGGAACCTCACCGTATTCCTGTGCAAATCAAATGTGAATTGTGTGCGGTGCGGTTGGAGCCATACATTTTTATACCCTTTTTTTGGTCCACACTAGAATCACACCCATGCAATGCAATTCTGCACATCTCAATGCGTTGTTAACTTAACATATACACCCGCAGCGGTTCACATGAACGGGGTGCAATTGTGATGCGGTGCGGAATTCGCACATAAAACGCTGCAAATTCCACACCGCATCAGTGTGAACCCAGGCTAAGCAACATAAGGATGTACAAAAGAAGTCCAACCAGAAAGGAGGGCACACCAAAACAACAAGCTGAACAAGAAATAAAACAAACAAAGGGAAATTATTATTACAATGTTACTAAACCCACAACAGTAATATCAGTCTGTATATGCAGTAAAGCATGCTTGTTATACTCACTGTGGAACCTAAGGGGTTAATCCTCTGCATCGTGTAAAAAGGCTGTTTGATCCTTCCTTCTCTGCCCCTCCTCTTGTTGAAATGACCACCTGATACAGACTGAACCCGTGGTCACATACACATGCTCAGTTTAGTGTGTATTGCTAGAGTTGTTCTTTTTTTTCTTGGGAGGGTGCAAGTAATCAGCACAGGACCAATCAGCACTGTCCAGATAGAGGGTCAGAGGTTTCACATCCTCCTAGAGCAGAAAGAAAACTCCTCCTACAAGCTTTAACCAGTGCTCTGAACTAACTACAGATAAGAAAACGTAGTTTATATTAACTAAAATAATTGCATTGCCATGTTGTGTGTACTGTGGGAGACCAGATATAGTGAATGCATAGTGAATAGTTGCTTGTGGGACTTTGCAACCAAAACTAGCATCTGCAGAGGTAGAATCATCAACCATAGAAAATGTTGAAAACGTGAACAGTAGAGAAGTGTAAGAGGTACTCACTGCTCTAGTGGAGAAGGCTTTAACAGAAAATAGTGGCACTTTTTATTTCTCAACTCATAAACCTACATAACAACCTGTCAAATACATTCAGAAATGTTGGATCTGGAAGCCTGAGAACCTCTTTTAGGACCTTTTTGGAATATCAAACAAACATTCTTATTGCCTAAAAGATGTTGTGGCCAAGAAGTAAACACTAAGTGCCCTCACCATATCCAGGCAATGGAGAGAGATCTCCTTTGGTCGAACTGCAGCTGGACACAACAAAGGTAAGACAATAGCCTTGTGAAAAGTATATAATATTAATTGAAAAGCAGAGACAATCTTGGGAACAATGAAAGTCCTTAATCTCAAAACAACTGTGTAAGAGCAAATAAGGCTCTTACAGGACAATGTTGATAACTCAGAGACCCTTATAGTTAAAGTGATGGCCACAAAGAAGGCTACCTTACAAGAAAATAAATTCAAAGTAATGTCCCAAATACAGTCTATGTAACACCTGCAAAACTAGGTTTAAATCCCACGGTTGGAATCTCGGCCATTAATGTTTACTTCTCAGCCACCATATCTATCCTTAACTGATAAAAAGAAAGAACATGGCCCACTTAAAAAGCACATGGCGAAACCCCTAAAGGCTCACACCAGTGAAAATATGCCTTCAGTGGAGGAAAGGCATAGATCAAATATACTGCTGCCACAGTGTTACCAAGGCACCGACCATTGGTTTCTTCATCCTGGAGACAAACCTGCCTAGCTTGTCTGGTGAAGAAATCTGCCTGCTAGCTCTACAGGTTCACTGCAGAGATCACTAGAACATGAATTTCTGCCCAGGACAGGATAGATTCTACTTCTGTCATGCCACAGCACTTGGGGTGCCCCCTGATGATTGACGTAGACCACAGCTATGGCATTGTCTGATTGCAGACAGGGAAAAATAAGAAGGGGGATACAATGAAGTAAGACAGATGAATTGCTCGCAAATACAAGACAGTGATTGAAAGTTTGGATTCCTCCAGAGACCAACAACCCTGAACAGACAGATGATCCAGAAGTCTGCCCCAACCCAGAAAGCTGGAATTCACCGTAACAATCTTCCAACTTAAAGTGTTACTAAACACAGGACTCTGCATTCACTATATCTGGTCTCCCACAGTACACAGAACATGGAAATGCAATTATTTTAGTAAATATAAACTGCTAAATTTTCTCATCAGCAGTTAGAGCAGTCTTGTGACTTCAGCAGAACACTGGTTAAAGTTTGTAGGAGGAGTTTTCTCTAGGAGGATGGAAATCCCCTAACCTCTGTCTGGACAGTGCTGATCACATGCACTCTCCTAAGAAAAAAAAAACACTCTATAGCAATACACAACAAACTGAGCATGTGCATGGGGCTACAGATTCAGTCTGTATCAGGTGGTCATTTGAACAAGAGGAGGAGTAGAGAAAGAAAAGATCAAACCACCTTTTTACACAATGCAGAGAATTAACCCCTTAGGTTCCACAGTGAGTATAACAAGCATACTTTACTGCATATACAGACTGATTTTACTGGTGTGGGTTTAGTAACACTTTAAGGGAAGAAAAAGCTTGCCCTCTGAAAAGGGCAGGAGCCACCACGACAGAGACATCTTGATTCAGGAGTGTAATCAAATCATCTTCAGTTAAGAGAAAGACTGGACCTGTCCCACACCAGGAGAAAGCTCCGTTATAATGTTCTTGAGTAAAATTGAGCAAATGGAACTGCTTCGAAAGTTGATACCATCCACAGAAAAGGCCCACATCAGGACTTAAGTTGTTGAACCTGGATCTACAGCCTTATGAACTTTTCCTGAGTCAAGAAAGACTTGGCCAGAAGGTTACCTAGGAGAAGGCCCACATACTCCAAGTGATGTGACAGAATTAAAGATGACTTTTCAAAGTTCAGGATCCATCCAAAGTCCTACTAATTCATCAGCATGATTAACATATTGGATACATCTGAGATGAAGAAAGCACAATAAGCCCAGCAAAGCACTTCTGTGAACATTTGCAGGGCCAATGTAAGACTTAGGCTGGCCATACATTATACAATTATCTTCCAATTTTTTCTGCCCAATTTCCTTTAGATTTACCTTCAACTGTGTAGTGCAAGGGCCTGCCTAATTGGATACAACTGAAAGTGTTGTTTAGGTTTGTCCTCCTATTATATGGTTTTTGGTAAATCTAAACCAAAAATCTCCAGATAATTGTATAATGTATGGCCAGCCTTAGAGGAGGGCTACAAACTGAAAGTGGTTGCTTATATCAAAGCAAAGAAATTGCTGATGACCCAAAGATAAAAATGTGTAAATATGCATATTTTATGCCTATGGATGCCAACGATGAAGGGAGACAAAGACTTTCTGAATTTATTCCATCCAAAATTTTTGAGGGCATATGAAGGCATTGACAGCCTTTAAAGGATAAGTTAACCTTTTGGACAAAAATAATAAATGCACATTTTTTTTGCAGGTAAAAAAATGTGCATTTATTATTTTCGTCTACAGGAGCCTGGAAAGCATTGCACTAGCGATCAGTAGACCGTTGATGCCATGCATGTCTCCTGCAGACCTGTCAGAATATCTGCTTGCCGTACGAGATGTATGGTCAAGCAGATATTCTGACAGGAAGCTTCAATGAACTACCACAGCGCTCCACAGCACTGTGTAGTTCATTGAAAACTACAATGTGACAGCCGCTAAGGAACTGTGTGAATGAGTGACGTGGACATGTGGGCGGAGCCCCACACGGCCATGCTGTTTTTAAATCTGACAGATAATACGGGGAGACTTCTCCCCATACTATCTGTCAGAGGCAGATGGGCGGCTGCGGCTATGGAAACATGTTACATGTTCCACCCTAAAAGCAGGTGGAACATGTAACTTGTTCCAAAGTTGAATTTATCCTTTAAATCCAGTATTGAATGAAGGTCTTTTTGGGGTTTTGGAACTGTAAAGTTTGAGTAAAAACCTTGGAAACTGGTTGGAGGAAAAGAAACAATAACTCCCTAGTTCAACAATCCCTGAGTTGCTGAAAGGAAGTCCATCTCATAGTGCCCAGACATGGGAAGATGCAAAGTAAATAAATGGAGGTGGAAGACACTGGAGTCCTTTAAATTTAAAGTGGACCACACAGCCTCAATTAAAAAAGTAACAGCTTTTTTTTGTTGCAGTGACACAAGGGCTGGGCTGCAAGTTAGCTTGCTGGATCTCTTCCACCTCTATGAAATAAAAGAGCTGCAGCATCTGATAAAGGGTGCTCTGTAGGATCTCTAGCAAACTCAGACTTTAGGAATCTTCGCATCAGAATCAAATGAGGAATGTCATTGTGGGAATTTTTGACCTTTGTAAGCAGGAGGAGCAACATGTTTTTCCAAGACAGATGTAAAACCTTGCTTATCAGAACAAAAATCATCCTTTGTAAGATAGGGAGAGGGCTTGGCAACTAAGAAATAAGGAGAAGTTTTAAAAATAGTCACTGACAAACTTTTCAGACTAAAGCCTGGCACACACAGGCTGTTACCCCCAGCGGGCTGATCAAAAAAAAATTGAGGAGCTCATGAAAAGCTTGCTGAACTCTGCGATGTTAGTACAGAGATCTCCCCACTGAGCTATTGGCTGTGAGCGCTGATTGGATGCCGGTTGGCTGCTGGCTTTCCAGCATGTCTGTTCGACAGAAGCAAGACAGGCTGCTGTACACACTGGCCGAATGCCGGTTTCTGTTGAACTACCCGATATTTGGTCCGTGTGCACCAGCCTTTAGATCTGTAAGAAGTACAAAATACACACCACTCAATTACACACCAATCTCCACCTTACACAGTTTGCAAAGAATGTCAGGAGCAAAAGATTCATCTATAGCAGCAGGGTGATCAACCTTCCATTTGGAGACAAACACGTTACTTAAGGAGTATGTACCTTTGAGAAGGGTCTACCCAACTGCCTAAAAATACTTGCAGGCCCTGAGAAATATACTAAGAGTTAATAGCAGGAGAGGCTCTGTGCCACTTTTTACTGCAAGCAGTGGCAGAAAAAGCAGAGGCAGCCTCTGTCAAACCTGTCAAATCTGTACATAATTTGTCAAAAAACACACAGATGAGAGCTGTGGAGTGACGAAGGAGAGTATGCTCAGGCACTTTTTTCTGAGCCTGACAAGGAAGCAGCTGCTGTGTGCACGCTGCCCCAGTACTACTTCAGAAATCTGTAACAAAGCATTTGAAGAAATTGACTGGTGTGCGAGTGCGTATGCATGCATAAAACAGGTATCATCAAATCCCATGTCTACAAGCAAAGAGAAAAAATGGCGGGGAATATTTAAAAAAAGTCAGTTTGTGCAGGAAAAAACCCCACTATCTGGCCATGAGGTTAAGCACATACACTTACACAGCTCAAAACAATATTAAAGAGGAGGGTTATTTAAGTTTAAAAACAGTGCCTGTTTAGACAACAATAATAAAAATGTTCTCTCTCTCTTCAGCAAGTGCTCCACAATAAAGCCACAGGTACATGAATGGAACCCCCAGCACAGACAAAGACAACTGCACATACTGATAAAATAGTTCAGAGACAGTGTCAGAATAAATACCATGGTCCTGGTCCTACACAGGATTCTTCCTAAAAAAAAACTGGCCTGACCTGAACAGTAGAGTTGACTGTGGCTGCTGACCACAGGACTGTTGCAGAAAGAACACCAGTGCACAAACAGGGAAACCTGTGCTCATTGGCAAACTGCAGAGAGTTCCAGGATTTACCATATCCAGAATGAATCAACCAGTAGCTTTTGATAGTAAAAATTCTTTCAATTAAGGCAAAAAATGTAGCAGAGAAGGAGATAACCATTCTTCTGAGGACACTAAAGCTGGCCATGAACTTACCGAAATTCTCCCAATTCAGCAGGGACTAGCCAAATCTCGATCAGTTTGTGGCCGTCCCTGCTTGACAGAAGCCAAGTGTTTTACCGACTTCTGTCGAAGGGACATGCTGTAACGCTTTTCTCAATCAGCGACTACAGTCAATGAGTCAACAAGTGGCTGGTCCTGGCAGGGGCAGTGGGTGAGGGGAAGCTGTTAGGCCTTTGAATTTTGCTGCATGTGTTCTGCAAGGGCACAAAGAAAACAATTGTTCTCTATGTGCTCTGTTCACACCACAACACTAGTATCATGCAGATTTCTTCTGTGCAGGAATCTGCAACGTATTTGCAGTTTTCTGTGCGGAAAAAAAGACTGACGTGATATTAACATTGTGATGTGAATAGGGCACATAGAGAACAGTTATTTTTTTGTGCCCTTATGTTACATATCTCTGCACAGAAAAAATCTGATGCCATTGTTATGGCCTGAACAGGACACATAGTACACATAAATACACACGTCTCTGAACATAGTGTGAACAAGCTGTTAAGCAACTGCCAAATGATAATATCACTATATTTTCTAAACTATGTTTTTCAGATCCCAAAGTAAACACCAGGCTTAATTATAGTTCTATGAGCTCACATCACAAAGTGAATATGATAAATAAGAAGAGTAAAGTAGAGCTAAACATTTTTCAAGATATAAAAATGTTATTTTACAAAATTTAACCTTTCAGTAACTTTAGCCTGGACTAGATTAAGATGATATCATAATGTGCTGGAGGCAAGAAGCATTTCCTCAATCTCTTCAACCTTAGTGTTCAGACTGCAGCACAAAATGTTTGTAGACAGTCACAAGATTAGGGGCTGATCTGTGTCAGACATTTGTTAAGACAGTGAAGAACTGTACAGGTACTAGAGGCTGTATCATCACTGACCCAGCATCTCAGTACAGGAATTACATACTCTATGTACCCCGTTTGGTGCCTGAAAAAGGCTGTCACTGCAAAAAAGCAGATGAAGGCATTGTCGGGGTACTGTGGTCTATGTACAAGGTAATAAATAACTGGAAGAGTTACACTTATGCTAGTCATACATGGCTCGGAATTTAAAACCTTGACAAACATAGACTGAAAAATCGACTGAGCCACATGGAAAGTTTATCGGACGCACAGTGACTGCATGTAGTCAGAAGCTGCAGGTACAGGCTGTCTGAATTAAAGAGCAGGCAGTGGTGATTCCTCCATCCATGCTGTTTAGCCTGCAGAACGAATAAGGAAAATCTAAATATGTATGGCTAGTTTTACACATTAAACAAAACTCTTTTTTTTTTCATTTTGGATAGAGTAAGGGGGATTATAACCCCTGTCAGTTTATTTTTTGCCATCTGTATGCCATTGGGGAGATTTCCCTTCACTTCCTGTCCAAAAGCCAAAAACAGAAAGTGAGAGGAAATCCCTGCAAATTCAGCGAATCCACTGAGCCCCCCCCCAGGTCACCAAAACTAGTGTCCCCGTTGGAAGATTTACCCTATTATATTTCTGGGTACAAGCCAAAACGTTCATTTTCACTTTCAATGATAATGATAAACAGGACAAATAGAGACAGTGAATCTCCCCAAAGGGCACAAAGGCAGCAATATAAACCAAATAGGTGTTCTAATCCCTCTCCACACTATCCAAAGCTAAAAAAGT